TTTTTTTTTTTTTTTTTTTTTTTGCTTTATACAAGATGTTTTTATCTGAATGCACCAGCTTGAGAGAAAAGGAGGAGGTAGGGGGACAGGGTGAGTTGCACCAGACATCCTTATCAGAACATACCGGCCTTGAGGGAAAGGGAGGGGGAAGGGGGACAGGGGGACAGAGTATCAAATGTCCTTTAGTTAAGCTGACTGTGAGGCCTAATAGTTAATAACGCTCTTTGTCCTAAAAGATTCAAAAGCTTACAAGGAGAGTTTTTTTGTTTTCGTTTTTTTTTAATCAGAGAGAAATTAAATTGAAGAGTAAAGCAAAAAATTACAGGCTTTACCCATACTAGTCATTGCTGAGCACATCTGTATATCATACATCATTGCTGAGATAATTAAAATAAATGATGGTGTAAGAAAATTATACTCACCTCCGGGCTTTGGAGTGACCTAGAGGTTCGAACAAGGCCTTGTTTCCTGCCAACATTTCTCACACCACACGTGTGATTTGTTGGGCCTAGTTCCTGCTGGTTATGTATAAAGACAGCATGGTCTTTCTGGTCTGTGTTTTTCAGAGGCTTTATCAGGTATCTTTGATCATGATGTGTGAAGTATCCTCTGTGTGATACAGAGATTTGTATTTCAATATTCCCCGACCCAGAGAGTCATAAAAACTGCCCGGAATAGACTGATACCCTTCCCTCCAGCCCAACTTCATATGTAGAGTTTTCATTCATAGACCTTTCAGCTAACTTTTGCTAATTTAAGTTATATAATCAGTATTTGTCAATATTAAAATGAAGCCTATTTTATTTACCCGAGGAATTCTAAACAAGAATTGTTAAGATGAAGCAATCCCAAAGAATTTGAAATTTATACCATGAGCTCAGTCAATATTTTTCATAGTTTATTTATTCTTAACAAACATTTCTTAGCATATCCTAGGAACTTAATAAAAACAGAGTAAAGGAATGCTTACATATCAAGAATCCCAGATGGGAGAAAGAATGATTAGC